GCAAAATATGAAAGGAATAGATTAGGCACGATATATCAGCCGGTTGTCAATGTCAGCCTTCCAATGGATCGAAAGAGAAACAATCGATATCACAGGTGAATGCACTCACCGCTGCTTCGTCTTAACGCGACGATAGCGGTGAAATTCCGTCGGGTCGTTGGGGTCGAAGCCCCTGCGATGTTTCGGCGGCGAAGACATGGCGGCCGCCTTTTTGGCTTTACCGTCGCTCGGATTCGTGGTGATAGCGGAGTTGTTATTGCCGCTGATGACGGCACAGATAGTGCCGTTGTTGCTGCCGATATGCAGAGAAGTGAGCGGCGGCGGCGAGGGTGGCAGCTGCTGGGCGGAGGAGCGGATGGTGCTGCCAGATGATCGCTCCGGAGGATGACAACGGCAGCCTGATGCTGGTGGCTCACCAAGGGCACGTTCCCCGTGACCGACGTGGCTCTGGGGCACCGCGTTCAGCTCGTGCCTGGTAACTCTACCGGCGCCCGGCCCACCCATTCAAACCCGCGATGATCGCCGCCCGCGATGACTCCACCTCTCTGATCTCCGTGACTGCACCTGCCGACGATTCCGCGCACCTTCCGCTCGCTCTCGGTCAGCGTCGACTCACGGCTCCTGTTTCTCTCGATTCTATAACCGATCCGTAATGCGCTCTGCGAACGCAGCAAAAAATGACCACGACGAAGGGCCTAAGGCGTATCGCCGCATAGCCGGGACGGAACCCGGCACGCCGGCTTGTCTGACCTCATGCACGCGTCACTATTGACTGATTTATTTGTCTCTTTCACCCTAGCCCGCACATGCCACTCATCTAAATTTCGGGAGGGGTTGAGCTGCTCGTTCGAGGACAAAAAAGCCGGGAAAGGAAATTCACCAAGGTGACCAAGAGTGGCTCTAACGAAGGAGGGGAGATGCGCACGACAACGTGCACAGCGATGACACTGCTGTCGAGACGCGATCCTACTTCCGTCCCATGATCACGCCGACTCACTTAACACGATACGATGCACCTTTCGCATCCTCTCGCATCCCTGTGTAATACGCCCCCTTGTTTCTGCCGCGCGATGGCAGCACCGTTGCGCATGTGTGAAGTACGATGCAACAATATACAGAAATTGAGAAAGGGTGGCGACGCTTTCAACGCATTGAACGTAATAGGGGTGGAGGCTGATCGGTGTGAAAAACGAAACGAGATTGATGTATAAAAATGATTTGATCGAAAAAAAAAATTTCGTTAATATCAAGTCACAATCACGCAATTATCATCAGATGTGCTGAAAACACTCTTGATCATCAATAAAATTAGTTCGCCTTTACGTGGATCTGATTGATATGTCGTGGATGACACAACTAGAAAATTAATAATGAGGTTACCTAGAAAAGCTTAATGGATATGAAAAATCCAGACGTTATGACAAAGCGTTTGAATCTCTTCGTCTGAACACATTATATATATATATATGTGTGTGTGTATATATCTTCAATTTTGTTCGATTCTAACGTACTACTACAAACATCCCTTTTTACCCTTCTCTCTCTACGTATGACGTTTCTGATTTTCGAAGGAAGCAATCGGTGGCAGCACTGCAGACTACGAGACGCCAGCAAACCGACAAGTACAAGGGTAGTCAGGATTGTGGGAGGTAAAACTTGGAGTGGAATAGGGGCAGTAGGATAACCCCGATTAGTTGGTAGAAGGTACAAGCAAACCAACACGCCAATCTGATAACCTTTCGTAGCCACGCACGAATAATGATTTCATTCGTAAAAGTTTTTAACTTTTCCTCATTTTTTCTCGTTTTTTTCTTCTATTTAGGTATTAATAATCAATTTACTGTATTTCATTTTAAGTATTTTAAAGCATTGTTTGCATCAAGTCTTGATAAATATATTTGAAACTATAGAAATGTCGATAAAAATCTTTAAAAATCTTAAAAAAAAATTTTTTTAAGAGAGACATTCTTCTGCCAACATTTTGTTTTTCTATTTCAACAAGAAACATTAAAATAGAATACAAATATTAAAGTAAAACACACACACACACACACACACACATATACACGTGCGCGCGCGCGGCTTGGGCTTGTCCTGTGATTTATATCTTTAAATTAAATTAATATTTACCACAGTAGAATTAAATTAAAAATTAAAAAATTTTTTCTTCTTATACAAAAAGAAACATTCCTAATTAAATAAAAAAACAATGCGCCAGATATTATAATCGTATTAATGACGATTGATAACAATCAATTACTTTTTGTACTCACTATATCATGAAATATTCATATAGTCCAAGCGCAAACTGCTGAATGGTGGTAATACAACATTAACACGTGATTAAACACGTGAAGATGACAATGAAGATAAAACGCTTAATTGTCAAATAAATCGAGAATAAAAGAAAAAGCCTCTAGAATGAAACAGCCGATGGTTGGCAAACTTGTAATAACGAGAGTAAAACACGTGGTCGGACTTAGCTCACTGATCGAGTTGGCAATAAGCCAATTTATTCCGCCTAAGTTCGCTTGTGACCACTGTATTTGATCACAGAAGATAAATGTGTTTCATTTACAAAATTGCATTAAACCTTCGCGGCAATTCTTTTGTTAGGGAATCGAAATATTTTAGATTTCTCTTTTATACTAAGAAGGCTCACTCAACAATTATAGAAATATATATCGTTAACGATAAAAATTGCGAATTAACAAAATAAAAAAAATCATCTAAATTTTTCTGATCTACCAGAAGAGAAATAAAATCGCTAATACGCTTCCTCCCGCGGACAGTTACAAGATGGCGGTGTCGCAAAGCATTACGACCATCTGGTCAATACCAGAAAATGAGGTTCCCGGCACGCTAACCCCGATTCAAAGACGGACGCAATTATTCTATGCAATCATGCATTTCACATCAAAGATGTCTAAAAATAAAATAAAATTACTTAGAAGAAGAAAAACATAATATTTTCAAGTTCACAACTTTTACTAAGTTGAAAAACTAAGCCGCAATGTGCGAACAGTTCGTAATATAACAATTCTAATTGATTTCTGGGTGCAAAATAAGATAAATCAATTAATATGAGACTGTAAACGTATAATGACTTAAAAGATCGTCAACAATTTGTTAAAATTAATTGTATATTGGTGATTCAAAATAGTACAAGTATATTGGCTATATAACAATAAATCAATAACTTAAACATTAGATTTAATTAAGTACAGCTCCAGATATATAATACTTGTGTATTTTATTTAAATTAATTGGCAATTTGTATTTTGAAAACGCTTGTAAAATATAAGCTTTACATATGATTTTCAGTGCAAACGCAAACTCTAATATTAAGTAAGATCAAACATTTATATTGTTTTTGAAAAATAGAACATAAGAAGTTGAATCTATAGGTAACACTTAGTAGTACAAAGTCATCTGTGTTAACTGCACTCCGTAAGTGGAACTCGTAACTTAACCTTCGATTGTTATAGTCATAGTACGCTTTAAAAAGATAAACTGTTCTCACTAACTTTGCACAACTAGGACGATTTGGTATCGTTAATTTCATGGTTTTACATCGTTAAACCTTCAGTGTGGATTGTTTATATGGTTTGTTCAAAGTTAAGAATTGCTCCACCCTATTCAGGATAAAAACAACAAACAAAAAGTATTTTCATCTAGAGTGCCCCCCCCCCTCTCTCTCTCTCTCTCTCTCTCTCTCTCTCAAACTGAGAGAACTGATGAGAACGAGTTCCACAAAGAGATCTATCAACTCTTTGATGTAGTCCGATAAACACAATCTGACCAAACACTCGAGTAGAAGCAAATAATCGATTAAAAGGGTCTCTTAAATATTTCAAGTACTATTTTAAAGTACTATTTACTACTCAATGAAATGAAAAATGGATTTGTTCATAAAAAGTCATTTTTGGAATCATTTATCCCATCTCAAACATACGTACTATCATCTCTTCTATCTTAACATACATATACGTGTTTTCTTGCGTCATTCAGTAACAGTTAATTTAACCAGCTATTCATACAACAATCCTTTCTTCTAACTAAAATAAAGAAGTGCCAAATCGGATTAAGGCTATTTTTTTCTATATTTCCCTAAAAGAAAACTTTTCTTTTCTATTCTTCTCTTATACTTTAGCCTTCTCTATTCTCTTTCTTCAGATACACTCACTCGTACTATTTAAAACTCCACCCAGTCGTTAAACAAATCACTCATTATCAAACCAAAGATTCCTTTCAAGCAACTTTTACTCTCACACTAATCATTTCCTCTACCCACCCGTCGTCACGTGACGGAGAAATAAATCTGATGATATCACGTATGTAGTATCCACGAGCTTTTCCGCAAATTTACGGCCCTTCGTCTAAGTCAATTTCGCGCTCGTTTGTATGTATATATTTGCGATCGAGTTTGATATCATCGAAAAAGAGCTTTCGTAGACTCGACCAATCACTGACGCGAATGGTAGCACGGCGTCGGTATGACTGACTTCTCTCTCCTGACCAGTCGTGCATGACTTGCACGACTTATGGCAAGCAACCACCGCTGAAGGCGTATCTGTGGTTGGTCAGCCGGTCGACCGTTCGCTTCCTTTCTACTCACTATTGCGGTCTCGCGTATGTATTCGTGTCATGCTGATGTCGTATCGTATCGCGGAACGCTCTTGTCAGCAGCATAACCCGGACTCGGCATCAGGAATTGGAACGCGCCGGTTCTACCACGATAATGCATTCATCTTCGATTTGTAACAATTCAATAAGCTATGTACATAATCGAGTCACATGTATAATATAAATCGCTAACGAATGTTTAGAATCGGTTATTCTTTAAAAATTCTTGAAAACATTTTTTATTTAAATATTAATGTATTATATAGAAAAAGAAACCGTGTTTAAAAATATTATATTATTTTAAGTATTATTAATTTTAACTATAGCAAGCATCTCAAAATATTTAAACTTTTTACAATTTTATTTTTCATATTTTATAGGAAAATTATTATTATTTTATTATTATCTTATTATTATTTTATTATTAAGCATTATTCATATCATTTTCTAGAATCCCTAGATAAACGCATTTCCAAGTATTTCGCGTAGTACAATCTCAAAAGAAGGCCATGGTCTCTTGAATATGCAACAATGATTATCATCAAAGTAGTTTTCAACCTACTCGCGGGAGTTCGACTAAGTCGATACATTATAAGCCATCGTTGGCATATAAGAGGACGTTTCGGAATCCTTTGCGAAGGAATTGACTGTTTATAGGACAGCCCCCATCACAGTTTTCCACGACATATTTCATAACCACAAAAAAATATCGCCGATTCTAAACCTCTCTTATCAATAATGTCCTCAGAATGCAAACATTTAATCATCAGTTAAGAGTAGTTTACGAAATTATCATCTTGTTGAAATTCTATGTTGAATAAATCTGTCCAATGCCCTGCTAAAAGAAGTTTTAAATATATTTCTTTTATCTATTTCGATATGATGTGAATATATCTAAAATAATAAAAAAAATATAATGCGAATTATTCGTACAATTGATATTTTTTCTTGGACACGCCAATGGAAATTACTGATAAACTATATACGTAAATTTATAAAATAGATTATGCTTCATATTTTTAAATTGTTCTTCTTTTTCCTAATCATCTTTTTTATATTCGTGGATTGATAAAAGTTCGTTACGTATTTAATTCTGACTTTAGTTTTTATACATCACCTTTATTGTTAAATTTATAAATATTTTAATATTATATAATTTATCGCTCCCTACTTCTATGTAATTTATTACTTTCTACTTTTTTTTAATTCTCAAATTGCTGAATAAGACATAAATATTAAAGAACAATATTATTATCCTTTCGCTTGCGGCATACAGAGATGCAATCAAAACAGTATTAAGTATGGTAAGAAAACTATATTTTTATCTAAGATTGTTATCCATATAAATGTATCGATTGTAATTCATATGTAATTTACAGTTTTACGAGCTATCATTCGTGTCTATTATTATTAAAATTATAAATAAATAAATTAATGCAATAAATGATCAATATCGATAATGAATAGAAGATATTAATATTTCAATAATTATCAAGACACCCTTAGTAAAGAGTTTTCGTTTGCTTGATTATTGACTTCCAAGAGCTTACGTCAGATGGCACGAGCTTACTAAAAACAAATTTATAAAACATTTGATTTAACCTAGTTTAACTTTAACGGACAATTATTTGTGTCTAATTTTTAGTACATACTGAACTGAAAAGAAGTTAATCAGTATTGAACTAGAGTATTAAGACTAAATCTTCGCACGGAAAATTACATCTA